AATCTGAAGTCTAAAAAAGTTCCAGTGGCCAGAGACATAAAGTTTGATGAAAATGCAAGGTGGAATTGAGAGTCTAACCTGGTTGAGACAACTAATGACAGAATTCTTGGTCCAGGGTCACTGCTAGAAGTCATTTATGAACCTCACTATGATCCTAGGGACACTGAACTTACTATTTCCCCAATGTTAGGAATTTCATTGTTTTTTCTTCAAATTAGGCCGTTTCTAATGGCTCAGTGTCTGTCATTGTGTCAGGGTATCTATTACAGATCCCGAATACCAGCTCAAGTGTTTGTACTGCTGGTTCTTCTAAAAAGCTTTTATCTCTCATCAACCGGTTCCCTATATACACGGCTGATGCTCAATGAAATGTGTGTCCTTCATTTTCAACAAATTCCTTTTCTGTTCATTGCTGCAATGTTCATCTTTATTTTCCAGAGATCACTCAACCTCCAATAAGATCAGTTAAGCATTTACATTGCATGGTATATATATGTCATGAGAATCGGGTTTCTGAAAGTCTCATAAGCATGTCAGGGATTCCTCTGAACAAAGGAAATATTTGCATGGCAAAGACAAGCCCCTATAACGTGCATAAAGCTTACTTCGATCTTTTTGAGAGGGACTTCACGCTGTTTCTAAAGTCACGGTTTGAAGAATGAAGAGATTATCCCAGGAGGTCATATGGTTTTAACAATCGTCGGAACTGATAGGAAGACCAAGAACAAAACTTGCACTGTTTGGGAGTTATTGGGAATTGCGCTACACGATATGGCCCTAGAGGTGTATCACTTCTTTCTCCTTTTCCTGCTCGTCAAGAACATCAATGTATTTAGCCTATTGATATGATCGCCTCCAAATTAAGTATTACTTGCAGTTTGCTTGAGTAACTGCTGCCATTTCTCACGTTCATTTGTAATGGCCTTAATCAAGGGATTGATTGAATAGGCAAAACTGGACCACTTCAATCTTCCTTATTATGCACCTACCCCAGAAGAAGTGAGGCACGCAATTCAAACTGAAGGGTCGTTTCACATCCAGCGATTTGAAACTTATAAAATAGATTTATTTTGTATTGTTATGCAATCTGTACAAGAACGACGTTTTCGTTTGCTTGCATGAAACCAAGTAGATAGAGACAAAGAATTCTATTGGGAAGAATCGAAGACGGCTTTTCCACTAAATCGACAAAATTTTTGCCAAAACCAAAACTCTTGTTGTTGTCATCAACCAGAAGTACAGAAGTAATCAATTCTTTTTGGCTGGGTGAAATGTATTTTAAGCGATCATAAAGGCAAAACAACAAACTAGAACACAGGTTACCCTGAAATCTCTTCAGATCCTCTCTCACCGATTCCAAATTCTGGTCACCAACATGTTTTCCAAAAACAACATGCCTTCTGCCCAAACAGTTGTGTCAACAGCAGCTTCTATCGCTGCTTCAGCAATGGTTATTCAGACCGTAGCCCGTAACTTGCTACCATCTGAACTTCAAGCTTATGTTTTCAAATATATAAAGGGCTTTTTCAAATCTTTTTCCTTTCAGATAACCTTAATCATCGACGAATTTGATGGTTTAACAGGCGACCAGATTTACAGGGCTGCAGAAATCTATTTAGGAAACAAAATCTCTCCCTCCACCAAGCTTTATAGAGTAAGCATGCCAGAAAAGGAGACAAATATTGCTGTTTCCATGGCGAACAACCAAGAAACTATGGATACTTTTGATGGGGTGCAATTTAAATGGAGGCAGGTTACCAGACAAGTTGACTCCAATTACATGGCAGCTCAAGGTCATACTAACAAGGGTCCGATCCGAAATTCGATCTTTTGAGCTTACTTTCCACAAGAAACACAAGGATAAGGTTTTAAACTTCTACTTGCCTTTTATAGTAAAAGAATCAAGTTGTTTAACAGAAGAGAAGAAAACCTTAAAGCTCTACACTTTGAATTACGACTATATGCGCAGGTATGGAGGCGGAGCATGGCAACCAATAATCCTTGATCATCCTGCAAAATTTGAAACAC